ATTGATGGATTACAATTGCTTTAATTACAATTACAATGAATCCTAGCACCAAGAGGATGACCCTTGGCAAAGGGGTGAAGCAGGCCAAGGTCGGCCTTGTCCTTCTGAGCCTCATCATGCCTCCATCCTTCCAGGGGTTCCTAACGCTCCCTCCACTCCCTTAACCCCCTGTTTACCTCAGCTCTTCCTTATCAGGGTAGATAGCACTCAATACTTCAGGATCCTTCCCTTATGTGCTAGTTTCCTTCTATCAGAATTTCTAGTCCCAGATATTATTCCTTTTGGGAACTCTCTATGATATGAACATGAGTGGTACTGGGTCAAAGATACCTATGCTGGGGGTGCTCCTCCAGGGTGGGAAGGATACAACTCACCAGGCCTCAGATGACCTAGGTTTATAATTCCAGTTTTGCCACTCATTAGCTGGTGACGTTGGGCTGTGTTTCTTAACCTTTCTGAGTATGTCCTCATCCATATAATAGAATTGATGAGTCCATGCTAGCATGTCTTACATATGAGACTTTTACTTCCCAGGTTTATCATGAAGCTCAAATGAGATGAAGCACTGGAATGCTCTTTATGCATGAGAGAGGTTCTGTGCAAATGTTAGGGAGAGAGGCAAAAGGTGCCTTACCTATGTCCACAGTGTTAGCTTTCTGATAGGTAATGAGTTGTAGCAGGAAGCTTCCACCTGGCTTTAATATTTTCTGTAATCCTCGTTTATTGAGCCTCCATTTCCTCATTCATACAAAAGAATGTATACAAAATCTCATTGGCTTGTCATGAGCAATGATGGTTAGAAAGTCCCTTACCCTAGTGTCACTTGGGACTTAGTGTGTATTTTATAAAATGTTAGTTTCCTTTTCACCTTAACATGTCCCTCAAGAAGTGACTCTAGACATTCAGGTACAAGAGTTTCCACACGCTTCAAATCTGTCTGTGTATGAGGCAGGTCCGGTAACCGAAATGGTATCAAAGCAGCCCAGAGGAATGATCTAGTCCAAAGGTAACATTAAAAAGGTGTACATCATCCTCTGAAAGGCAGTGGGTGCTGATAACGCACCCATAGGGTGACATGAGGCTGGTTCTGAGGAAGGGGGAGGGAGGTGACTAGGGCACTCGCTTTGTCACAAAATTAAAGAAGGCACCATAAAACTCCATAAAATAATGTTTAATGCAATATTTTTTTTAAAAACTCAAAATGCAAAAATACCTATGACGAACAAAACGTCAATTGAAAACAATGTTGACTTTCTAAAGTATTGCATTAATATATTTACTTTGATTACTGAGTTTTTGGTGCCCCCCGTTAAAATTTGTGCCCAAAGAGAGTGAGCTCCTCACTCCATTGGCCTTGCCCTGCCCCCACCCTGGGGTGGTGTCCACAGGGCTGGGGGGAAAGTCCCAGGGAGAGCTTCCAGTACCCACTCCTGATTTCCCCTCATCCACTTGGGGTCCTGAATTTGGTTTAATTATAACCTTGTGAAAAAAGAAAAGACCATATCAAATGAAATTCTGGTATCCTTTCTAATCAAGTGACCACAATGAAAGATAAGAGTTTGGAAAGAAAATATGAAGCCAGTTGTTCACCAGAAGCTTGATTTAGGTTGGGGGTTGGCAAACAATGACTCGCACACTGACTGCCTGTTTTTGTAGGTAAAGTTTTATTGGCACATAGGCCTGCTCATTTGTTTTTGTGTCATCTAGGCTGCCTTGGTGACACAACAGCAGAACTGAGTAGTTGCAGCAGAGACTGTATGGTCTGCAAAGCTGAAAATGTTTATTATCTAGCCTGTAGCAGACCCCTGATTTAGATTATCAAAGGACTTAGTTTTCTTTTTTTAATAAATTTATTTATTTTATTTATTTATTTTTGGCCCTGTTGGGTCTTCATTGCTGCGTGCGGGCTTTTCTCTAGTTGTGGCGAGCGGGATCGACTCTTCATTGTGGTGTGAGGGCTTCTCATTGCGGTGGCTTCTCTTGTTGCAGAGCGTGGGCTCTGGGTGCACGGGCTTCGGTAGTTGTGGCAGGTGGTCTCAGTAGTTGTGGCATACTTAACAGTGAAAAACTAAATCCTTTCCTCATAAGATCAGGAGCAGGCAAAGGATGCCCTCTTTCACAACTCCTATTCAACATAGAACTGGAAGTTCTACACGTTGCAATAAAGTAAGAAGAGAAAATTAAAAGCAGATCAGAAAGGAAGAAAGCAAACTGTTCACCATTCATATTTTTCTTCTCTGGGAGGTGTCAGATCTGTTGCTCATTTTTCTATTGTGTTGTCTTTTTCTTACTGATTTGTAACATTTCTTTATATAATCTGAATACCGGTCTTTTGCTGATTTCACAGGTTGCAAACTTGTCTCAGATATTGGCATGTCTTCTTTCTTTATTGTACCTTGCGATAAACAGAAGAACTTAATAGTAGAGTAGGCAAATTTATCAATCTTTCCTTTTGTGATTAGCACTTTCGGACTTAGCCTTAAGAACTCTTCCCATTTGGAGGTCAGAAAGATGTTATCCTATGTTTTCTTCTACAAGTTTTAACATTTTGCTTTTTCAGCTAAGTCCTTAATCCCTCTGGAATTGATCTTTAGGTATGGCTCCTCCTTAACTTTTGGCTCAGTAAATTATTCCAACCTTTGTGAGAGCTCTGTTATCTTTCAGTTCCAACTTCCCTGCCATGCTGGTTCTGATGCTCTGTCTCTAAAAATTGTGTGGCCTTTTCTTTTCTTTTGGTATGCCTTATAATTTTTTTCTTGATAGCCAGACATGATGTACCGGGTAGAAGGAACTGCTGTAAATAGATCTCGAGGAATGTGGTAGCGAGTTTTCAGGGGAAAGAAGCGTTCTATGCATCCTACAATTAGGTCTCAGTCTTTTGGTGAGCCTGTGCCTTTGGACTGCCAAGTTCACAAGTATTTCTCAGTTTTTTTCTCCTCGCTTAGGTGGGACAGGATGGCTAGAGTGGGCTGCAGTTGAGCAGTTCCCTTCTCCCACAGTGGAAGCCTAGAGGAGTCTAGAGCTGAGTATTTCCCTTCCCCAGGTCAGTTAGGCTCTGAGGATATTCTAGCAGGTTAGGCTCTGGTTAACTAGTTTCCCCTGAGGGCAAGAACAGAGTGTTATGGCATATCAAAAAATGTTCATTTTCCCCTCCCCCTTCCAGAAGCCTGAGGGGATTTTTCTCTGGTATTTACTGTGGACATCTGGTAGAGCTCCGGGAAGTAAATCTCACAGTATTGTAAGGACCCCCCACAGTGACTGTGTCCCCCTGGAGTGTTTAACTCTCAGAGTTGTCCCCAGGGAGACTCCAGCAGTTGGTCAATTACAGTTCACCTTTTCCTGTCCTGGCACTGCTTCCAGCAGCGCTTTCTGTTGGCAAGTCTCTGCTCAGTTTCAGGCATAGGAACAGGAAGGGCAAAGAGCAAAAAGCAAATGCCAGAGCCCTTTAAAAGAGCTTTTCCAGGAGCTCTACCTAGCACCTCCAGCTTACATCTCCAAGGCCCAAACTGTTCCGCCTGCCCATCCTTAGCTGTAGTTTAAACAGGGCAAATTGCTGCCCTGAGCAAAATCAAGGTTCAGTTAGGACAGAGGGTAGACTGGGTGTTGGATAGTTAACCAGCAGTGTCTGCCCCGCTCTCTAAGCTCCTGCCAGGATTGCCTATCCCCCTAGCAGGGTTGTTTGGATAACAAAACGGAAGATCACATGCAAGAGCATTTCATACATTATAAAATGTGTTTCATAAACAAAGTGGAAACATTCTGAACTATTTTCTCAGAGAGCAAACCTACTGTTAATAGAAAGTCTTACTAAATGCAAAGACTTGGGTAATCAATATCTCTTAAACCTCAGCTCATTCTCTTTCAGACATCTTTGGATAGACCAAGATCCAGTGTTTTCATAGATACACATCCTCAAACACCAGTCTTCAGATTCAGATTATTGCCGAACATTGTTGTAGTGGACATTTGTTGATTTCCTCCAATACTCCTTTCCTCCTTTTCTCTTCCTCTTAGTAATCTGAATGCCTTTCCATGTGATTTTTCTTCGGAGTGTCCTTCCTTACCCTCTCCTCTAAGGGTAAGGCTAGATTAAAGTCATTCAGCAAAGTATCGTGACATTCAGTGATGGGCAGTCAGAATGACTTCAGAGCTTGAGACTGGTAGCATGCTAACACTACACTCTTGGGAGATGGATGTGTGGTCTTAAACTGCTGAAGCTATATTTTTGCACCATGAGGAAAGGCAGCCACAAGATGAAGTCAATCTACAGAGAATGCCATGCTAAGAGAATTGCAGAGAGTCAAATGATATACATAGTGAACCCCTGTTTTCCAGAAACCAACCCTACATCCAGGTTTTTCTTCCCCAGCTCAATGAACCAAAATATTTCCATGTCTTGTTATTTATTTAAGTGAGTTTGAGTTGGGTTTTCTGTTATTTGTAGCCAAAAGATTCCTGAATGATAGTTTCCACATCTATTCCAGGAAAAAATTATATAGATTATTTTAATGTTTATTATTTTAAATAATGTATATATTTTATATAATATATTACTTAGCGTATTATATGTTTATGTTTATATATACACACACATGTATATACATATTTATAAGTATTATATATATATATATAAATATATATTCTGAAATTTATAGTCCTTCCAGGATTAAGGCCATAAGGCCTGAATATTACTAAGAAAGCTTGTTATACATTTCCTGCATGGCATCTGTCTAAAGGATTTTAAACTTTGACATGCCAGGACCTGAGTCTTGCTCTTTTAGGGACTGTATTTATCACCCCTGCGGTACAAGATTTACCCCTGAGTACTTTGAGGCAAAGACCAATTAGGCTGAGATATGTCAGTGTTCTTGTAGGTGTGTTTCCTGTTTCCTGTTTGCAAAGGCAACTACAGAAGAAATAAAAGTAACGGCCTTACATAAACCGCTTACTGAGCTGTCAAGTATTCAAGTAAGTTATTCATTAATTATGAGTGATTTCAGTCGCAGGGCCAGAGAACTGCGGGTGATAAAATCTGTCGTGATAACTGCAGAAGGCTCTGAGATCCGAGGCGCTGCGTGACTGCGTATTGTGAGTTACTTTTTTAACCTCTCAAATGCCTGGGTTTTAAATTGTGTAAATTATGATTCAGAATGCAAAGATGTTGCATCCTAGTTAAGTTGTTGTGTGTTTATATGTTTTTGGTATTTGTTAAATAGAAGATGGTAATTTATATCTGCCATGAAAACTTTGTTGTGAAGTATACATTTCCATTTTTAACTGTAGATGAATTTGTATGTTACCAAAAAGAAAACTATGCCGCCATTCTACTTTTGTAAAAATTCTTTTCTCTTCTGTGGTGCCTCTGATTAAATAGAAGGCTAAGGAAATTTACTTAAAAAAATGTAGGAGAAGTTATAAAGAAGTAAAAACCTGACTTGCCTCCTGGAAAAAAAGGCAATAACTATGTGCCCCTCCTTACTTTCCAAATCTACTCATTTGGTATGGAAAATTGAAGAGGATATTGTGCAGCAAGTAGATGGAATGTTTTCTAATTCAGAAAAGATTCTTTTGAAATTCTAATGAGGGCAGCAGCACCCACAGTAGTGAATTTACTGTTAAGATAGGAACATTATTACTTTCCTACTTTGTTGCCATCTCATTGAATGTTTAGGAAATTGGCTTTTCAGGAAGGGAAATCTGCTGATTTATGAATTTCTTGGAAATTTTTCAAAATATGCTAATGGCCCCAGATGAGAGCCAGCCAAGATTTGTAGGCAAGATGATATCGCTTAAGCCCTGGTAATACTTTTTGTGACTGTTTGTAAATAAGGCATGAATATTTACTTGGCCAAATAGTTTTATATGAGGAAAAAGTGGCAAAAATATTAAAGTAAATGTGGGCCAGAACAAAGCTTTAGTTTGTATTTTGCTGATATTGCAGGGAAGGGAGATAAGTCAATATAAAATGAAACTTAAATGTACTTAGCTCTTTTTCATCCCATTTCCTTCATCCCCATTAAGTCTCTATGGTTTAATTATTAGGTGAGCAACATGGCTCATCTGGATGTAATGTGAAAGTGAAAGTGAAAAGCCTTTATTCCAAATTGGATAGGCCAGTTCTTTAAATGAGATCTATAGGAGAGTAATAAAATATTTGAAGGCAAGCTAACCAAAATCTTTTTTTTTTTTCCCTCATGACATTGATAGCTAAGCCTCAACCCCAATGCATTTCTCCTGGAGCCCAAGAAAGAATTGTGCATTTAAGTTGGCAGTGATCAGGCAGCTTGAGATATTTTGAAGTACTTATGGATCTCAACCCTAAACATGATAGTAGCCATTGCATTAGTTCCTTGGATCTTTCTGATATCGAACTAAAGGATAATAGAAAAATGTGCATTCTTGTCCCCAAAGACAGTAAAGCATGACTATGATCCAACATAAGAACCCTTCCCCTTGACGTGAAGGTGTAGAGAATCAGTATATCTGCTGTTGGCTGGTTGTTTCTGCCCCTCCTCAAGCATCCAAGTTTCTCTTCTGTGTCTGTGATCTCAGGGACAGGTGATTCCTCACTGCAGATTCCCTTCTTGAGTGAGTCCCAAATATACTGTACTTCATCTCTGCTTTATGCAGAGCAAGGGGAGGCTACAGGAGTTTGTGCTGCAAATTTGAGGCATCTGCCAGACGCAAAGGAGGACGATTTGAATAAGAAATTGACCAAACAGCTCTTGAGGCAGTGAAGGAGCCACTTCCTGCTCAACTACTGTTGCCTCGAGAGAGGAATGGGCAAGGCAGAGACGAGGACGACCCCTTAAACAGAGGCTAAACTGTCTAACTGGGGCTTTCCAAAGGAATGGCCTAAGTTAGCAAACATTGCCCCAGTTTCCTGGGCTTTCTGGAATTTTGTTCAAGAATTCCAGACACTCTTGTAAAAATTACCTAGTGACAGAGTTCCTGACGATAGATAGGAAAGATATATGTAAAGAAGCTATTTTAAAGTAAAGTATATGAATAGACTCTAGGTTTACAGTCATTTCTGATTTCCTGTTGTCTGGGTATCTCTCTTTAGCTCCCTTAGGCTAGAATTATTTTGTCTGGATCCCCAAGAAATCCATACTCTTCCCCAACGCTTCCTATGTGACTAGCTTCTCAGTTACATGATATTACATGGAATTATATTTTTTCTACGGTTTTCTGCACTAAAGACCTCTTTCCTTGTTCTCTTAAAAAAATGCTATTTTAATCCTCTTAGCCTAGGAGCTTACTACTCTTTAATTTCAATGTCTCAGAAATCCTCCTCTATCAAAAAAACCTACTTTGTCAATAGCATACCTTTCGTTCAGGAGTAGTAATTGGGAGAGATTATCTCAGAGGCTGAGAACACAAGACACCAAATATCTAAAGGATAATTAAAGTATCCTTCCAGATGTTTTCAAGTAGAGACAAATACTGATCATTCAAATAATTGATTCCCTGACAACGATTTTTCACTCAGTCTCGTTCTCAACGCCAAAACAGCTAATAAATTCAATGGGAAAAAACCCTGCTCTTTTATTAGTTTGTAGAAAAAAGAAGAGAAAGAGAATAGTTGACTTCTCAGCAATTTTGCAACAAGTTCTTTTAGTGTCATGTAGACTTAGGAGAACGCAGTTTGTAGTAGATAACTGATGATTCCAATTAACCAAAAAGTATTGATTAAGCACCTACTAACTTGAGCCCTAGTGGAGAATGATATAGTATAACATGGACTCATATATTTAATAAAAGATCATGTTCCTAGAAACCTAATTCATTTACTCATTCAATAAATACTTATTGAGTGCTTGCTGTATGACAGGCACTGTGTTAAATGATGGGGATTTTAATGGGGAACAAGGCAGGGATGGTTTCTGTCTACAGTTGAGTGTGGGGTGTAGGGAAGATGTTAATCAAATAATTCCACAAATAGATTTTACAAATGTGATCAATACTATGATGGGGGGGAAAAAAACCAAAGAAAAATGGGAAACCAAGACTATAAAATACAGGCACTACCTACATCTAGTCTAAGTGGTGATCAGGGAAGACTTCCCTGAAGAAATCTGAAGAGGTTGGGAATGGGGAGGAGAATGTTCTGGGCAGAGGCCCTGAGGTAGAAGGGAGCTTGGAGCTTACTGGGAACTGAACCAAGGCCAGTGTCGCTGGAGAACGGGGTGGGGCAGGAAAAGCTAGAGAGGTGGCAGGGGCAGATTGTGAAAGACTTAGTAGAGAATGAATGAATGAACGAATGAACATGAGTAGTTAATAACATGGAGTTAGTCCTGTCGTCTCCTGTCATTATTGTGAAAATAAAAGGAGTTTGCAATTGTATAATGACTCTGCTGTTTGGGAGATACGGTATTCATTCATTCATTCAGCCGTTCAGCCAGTAAACCCAAGACAAAAATCCCTGTTCACATGGATCTTAAATTCTAGTGGAACAAGCAGCAAATATATAGGTTTTATAGTAAATTTTTGTTTATGAATAAATGGTGTTAAGTGGTCTTTCGATGGAATTTTAAAAATAATTTCAAATGTATATCATATTGCATCTATGTATGGTTATTCCTCTGTTTGGTTAAATAGAGTTATATCCTTCAGCAGATCTAGGACCATGCTCAGCACAGGTGTTCTTTACAGTACTCAATTCACAGTCAAAGACTTTGGAGAAATTCCAAGAGAATAAGATAAGAGAGGGAAGCTAAGAGATGTGCATTTGTTCTTGTTTCTGAGGAGCTAGTGAGGCCGCTGCTCACCAGCACCTTACCAGCTCTTCCTGGAGTGGTGGGGGCAGGAGGAGGGGAGCGATGGAAAAAATGAAAATAACTGAGGCTAACACTGATGGAAAAGGATCTCAGAGGGAGAGTATTCCAGAGTCTTGCTATTTCTTTTTATAAAAAGAGCTTAAAACATCTTATTATATACTTAAAATACTTTATAGAATTTGCACATTTACCATCTCTATAAAAGGTTCACATTTTACAATCAATGTACACATTTAAGGAGAGATGTTTCTTTGTCACATTCCCCAAAGCTCTTATTTAATTGATGGCGCATCTTAAAATCATCAGTGACTTACAGTCAGAAAATAGTACTTATCTGGAACCTTGTTTGAGTTTTCAGTCGTGCCTGTCTTTTCTGCTTGAAGATTTCCTGGTGACAGTGTTTTGTATCTGCATATAAATTATTACCATAGATGGAATTAATAAACCAGAGCACCTGTGAGGGTCACCTTCAGGTCTTGTTTGCAAAAATCAGAGAGTAGTTCATTGTATCAAAGGGAGGCATAATAATTATCTGTTTTAATCTTCAGGAACTTCCTTGCTTCTGATTTCTAGATTGCATAAATCAAAGTGATTATTTCTATATAATCCAAGAGGAATAATAGAAATGTTGCTAGTGTGATCCTTTAGTGCAGGATTTCTTAACTGCAGCACTGTTAACATTTTGGACCAGATAATTTTGTTGTGAAGGGCTGTCCTATGCAGTGTAGGATGTTTAGTGGCAACCTGGTACCAGTAGTATCCCCTCAGTTCTGACAGCCATCTCTAGACATTGCCAGATGTCTTCTGGAAGGGGCCAAATCATTCTCAGTTGAGAGCCATTTCTTTAGTCTATCATAATCACGGACTCACCATGCTGCATTAGCTTTTGTGTTGTTGTTGTGTTGCAGATGTGTCCAACTCTAAATGCATAGCTTAACAAGATGGTATCTTTCTAATTCTATAGTTCTTACATCACAATTAAAAATAATGTTAAGAAACCAGAATTAGATTTTTATTCAGCCAAATGTGTGAAATCCTGACACGGTAATATGTTTTTTGGGGGGAGGCAGGGAGGGAGGCGGGGGGGGGGTGTGGTTTACACTTTAAGGCCCTTGTTTTATTTGTTAAAGCCTGACAAAATTTTATCCTCAAAGTTTAAAACTTACTTAGTGGCTCAACTATTTTTTTAAAGATACATTTATGGGAATCTTAATGCCACAAAAGACTCCTACTCAGTCAGCTGCAAGAATTAATAGCCTTTTGGTGACACATAAAAACTTGAATGAGGCACATTCAGCAAGTTCATTT